CTAGCTTCCCAATATGTTTTTAAACTGTGCTTACTTCCCAATTTGTGGGACAGATTGAACAAACAGACCATTTATTTAACTTCTGTCTCTTGGAAGATTCAATCAATGTGTTTCTACTCAATGTGAGACCTTTTGCTAAGTGCTGTTAGGAATGAGGTAATAGACCACGATCAGACCTTATGGCATAAGGTATTCTTATGCTAGAGAGTGTAGCTAAACTCATAATGCATAGGACAAATACTTCGAACCCCAGCTACGATGAGGCCGAGGCAAACAGATAGCAAGTCTAAGGCCAGCCTCAGAAATGCAACAAGACTCTATCTCATCAAAAACAAAAACAAAAACAAAAAATGAGCTGAGAGAGTACTCACTCCAACTGCACATACATTGCAATTGGAATGATATAGAGAACATCAGCAGAACCCTGCACAAGGACAACACCAACTTCGTGAAGAGTTCCATATTTTTGGAGAAAAGGTAGGAAAAAAAGAAAAGGGAAAGATCATATAAGTATATGCACAGAGGGGCCGGAGAGATAGCTCAGTAGAATAAACGCTTGCCTGCAAGCACAAGGGCCTGAGTTCAACCCCCAGTTCTTCCCCTCCTCAAAAAAAGAGTATATGCACAGGATAGCTAAGACGATTGTACTACTAATTTCTATCTTTTTTTAAGGTAGGAGTTAATATTTAATTTTTTTTCATTTATGTATGTGGTACAGGATTTCACTACACAGATCAGACTCGTAGTGATCCTCTTGTGTTCAGCCTCTATAGTTCTGGGATCACAGGCATGCGCCACCACTACCATGGACTCAGTCACTGGCTCAGCGTGACCCCGGGTGGGGCTGCCAAGGCACGCAGAAGCAGAGATTGAACCCCAGTCCTTATACTTGCCGAAGCAGGCGCTTAGTCTGCTGAGCTATGTGGCTGGCCCAATGTTTAAATTTTTTACTTTGACCAATTCAAAATAAAGTATATTTGAGCAACTACGTTGAGGACAGCGTGTGCACTATAACAATCACAGTTGAATACCTTTTACCTTTTGTTTTTTAAATATGTATCATTTCTAATGCCTTATCTATTATTTTTATACTCTTTTTAAAGTGAGTTTGAAAAAATTAAAAGAACAAGGGAAAAAATTAAGGTTTATTGAAAGAAAGTTAATGTTTAATTGATCAAACTTGCATGCATGTATCTGATAATCTGAGCAACAAATTTGATAGCAATGTTTTGGCCTTTTTTTGTTTGTTTGTTTTTGGTGGAACTGGGGATTGAACTCAGGCCCTTGCACTTGCCAGGGAAGCGCTTATTCCACTGAGCCATCTCCCTGGCCAACAATGCTTTTAGTTTTTATTTTTTATTAATTTTATTGTGAAAGAAGTAGCAATGAGACAATTTCAAAACAGATTAGTAGAAGTTACAATAATTAATACATTATAGCTTGTCTCCGTAGTAGTTAGATTAGAAGATGCAGACACAATATTTTGTCTAAAAACTATTAGTATAAATCTTCTCATTGAACTAAGAGAAAGTAACTATATATCTATCCTATTTTGTATATACATATATATATATATTTTTCTTTTTTACTGCAAAATGGACCTTCATTTGTATCCCCCCTTTTTGTTTAGTTTTGTCAGAGATGGGTATTCCATTGCCATTCAAATATTGTAGGTGCATGAATTCAGCAAAATAAGCTAATATAGTCCACTAGTCATAATAGTAGTGGGTTGATGATAACAATATGTGATATAACAGCCATTGTTAATTTCTTATTTTTGTTTTGAAGTTCTCTACCATTTTTATTGTTTTATGATGCTTTGTTTTTGTCTTTTTTTTTTCTGTTTAAAATACATTTTTTTTTTAAAAAAGATAAAGGCGTGGACCCGGTGTTGAGAACATATCTCAATGCAAAGACCCTGAATTCAATCTTCCGGAACACAAAGATTAACAAACAAAAAATCAGAATATGTTGCATATGTAAGAAAATGTCAGTAAATGGGGTGTGAGCACTGGATGGTAGAATATTTCATCAAAGATATAGACGTATGTCAGTAATGATCAAGCAAACCAAAATGTCTTCAGAATTAGGACATCTCTTAAAATCTTTACAAAACAAAATGAATAGTATAAGTGCCATAAATTTTGTCTTTTGTTTATTTGTTTTTGTATTTTTAAAGTAGGGTCTACAGGGTGTTTAGGGTCTCACTACTAGATCGGACTTGTAGTGATCTGCATGATTACAGCCTCCCAAGAGCTGGGATTATAGGCGCGCTACCACGCCCAGTCTCAATCCCATCTCAGTGGGCCCCGGGAGAGGGGCAGGCATGGCTGGCCCAGGATCAACCCCCAGCCCCTGCGCCTGCGCCTGCTTGCAGGTGCTTCAATCCGCTGAGCTACTTGGCCAGCCCTGCCGTAAGTTAAATAGAGAATTCCACTGGTGGAAAAGAGCAAGAGTTACCATACAGAAAATACAAGTTTTCTGGATCACAAAACTGGGCTTATTCAACGACAGTAGCACATCCCTGTAATCCCAGCACCCTGAGGTAGGGAGATTTTGAGTTCAAGTCCAGCCCAGGCAACTTTACAATTTAGCAAGACTCTATCTCTGAATAAAAATTAAAGCCCTGGTGGATGTAGCTCAATTCAAGGGGTTGATTCCCTAGTACAGAGAAAAGCAAGGGAGAAGAGGGGAAGGGAAGAAGGAGGAAAGGAGGGGAGCGGAGGGGAAGAAAAGGGAGGGGAAGGGATAGGAAAGGCAAAGGGATTAGAATTCATCTGAGTGTGGAGCTCAGGCCTAGGTCATCTGCTTAGCAGGTGCAAATCCTTGGGTTCCACCCCCAATTCAACAAAAAGCAGCCTAGTTTTGCACGTGCTCGTGACTAATTGATGGGCATAGTCCCAGTATTATCTAATCGGCACAGCTGAATTCCCAGAATGTTGTGTGGGTGCGAGGCAACCACGCTGAATCACAGAATCCTAGAAAGTGAGGGCCATAGAAACCAAGACACAAGTTCCTTTTCTTAGATGGAGAAACAGAGGCCCACGGATTCCAGATCGCTTCAGGCAGGGACAAAATGAGTGAGTCATACTTGCACCAAAGCCTTCAGAGTCTGCGCTTGTTTCTTCATGAAAATACTGCGCAGTCCGTGTCAACGCTGGCCCTCGGCTGTTATCAACAGTGGGAAGCCGAAGGGAAAAGAGATACGGACAGGAAGGAGCTCACCTTGGTCACACCTTCACCCACTCACCTGAGGATTGGGAGCGCTTTGTATTTCCTATGTCTTGGATTTTTAAGTGCCAGGTACGGTGCCCCATCTGTGGAAGGATCTCAAAACTGTTGTTATAAAACCATTTCGCGGTTTTACCGTGGGTCATACAGCCACGATGAGTTCTCCAGGGGTGCTTTCCAGCAAAGCACCAGGAGCCGTGTGCTAGGTGTTCGCTGCCTAGTGGGTTTCAGTAGGCGTAGGCTGGGCGGTGTACGTTTCCCTGAGCAGGAAGCTGGAACACGTGACAATCCCAGGCTGAATTTACATCCCAAGTAATTCCCCCGTGCCAACGCGAACTCTGCCATAAAACCCACTTCTGTCCGGCACGGCGCAGCTTCCAAGCGGCGAAATCACTTTTCACCCAGTCGGTGTAGAGTGTGATGTCTGGATTTATTCCCAGGCAGACCTGAAACCTTCAGAATGCTTTTCGCATGTGTCACGTGTATGAGGAATTGCTCCCACTCAAATTCAACCTCTTTGTTCTCAAAGATTGTCATGGTCAAAGGAGAACCTCAAGATGTCATTGGTGAGTAGCCCGTCTGGCGCTGGGCCTCGGGGCAGCTTGGGGCCATTAGCTGATTCTGTGGTTCTGTAGGCAACACATCCCAGATGCCTCGGGGTCCCTGCGTGCTTTCCTTTCAGAATCCAGGGAGCTGAATTTTCTGCCCTTTACAACAACTTCAATGTGTTTTCAATAAGAGAAACCAGACCCAGGTGCAGTCATCTTCCGCAGCCGTAAATTTCATAAAGAACACATTCCTTTTCCCCCTTCCCCGTAGAAGGCTTCCGAGACTCGCCAGGCGCCCCGGTCCTTGCTGCGGAGGCATAACCCCGGAGGACCTCGGTGCAGGAAGACAGGAAGACAGCGCAAGCCCAGCCCACCCTTGAATGGCGCATCTGTGCGGACCATCTGCAGAGACCACACCTGGTAACTCTCCTCGCGTCTCATTTACACACCCCCAGGTCCCACGGCCCGGCCAAGACTGACTTCTATAATGCAGGCATCTGAGGAAGACTGTGGGATCCTCTCCAACTTACCCTCGCAGATTGTGCCAGTGGGCATACAGGGCGGACATGCTTCGGAAATAGACAAATGAGTTCACTGTAGAAATGAAAAAACAACAACAACAACAAAAAATGACGCATCTGATCAGATAAGTGAGCTGTCTCCTATAAGACCACTAAAATACTAGAGTAAAATTACAAATGGAGAGTCTCTGTTAAGAAAAATCTTTTAGAATGTTTGAACTGGGTTGCCAGCTAATACAATTTTCATGTAGTAAGCAAGTTTATTTGAAGAAGGACATACTAGCATCGACCTAAGGGTGTGTTCTCTTTGCTTTAAAAATTAATACCAAAAAGTCAAGGTCAGACAAGGCAATTGAAAATAGTAGGATGATATGCTATTGTGCAGCTGTTGCTGAAGCATAAACCAACATTTTATGAAATCATGCACTTAAATTTTTGTCTGCAAAATTAGCTCCATACGATGAGTCCGTCCTCATAATTCAGCATGTCAGAAGTGTTTCTGATTCTCCTTATCCTGAAAAGAAGAAGGAAGGCTTTCACCATGTCCTAAACCTTGAGAAAAATCCTTTGTGATTTATCCCATTTTGTCTGACAAGAAATATAAAGCAATAGTCAGGAAGTGGTCACTTCAAAATTTAGTTGCCTGCACTGAAGAAAAATTGGATAATTATGAGTCTTACAGGTGGTAAGAAGCTGTTTTCTTGTGCTTCTGACTACATACTGGTTTGGGTGACCTGAAAATGCCCAGGTGAGACTCACTGAGTGGAGGAGGCTGGGAAGAACACCTTCACTCCTATGAGAAACACAAAGTCTACAAAAATTAAAATAAAAGTAAAAATCGCTTCTTGGTCTTTTGGCTAAGATCAAGTGTAAAATAAAAGTAAAAACATAAATACTAGCAAGTGGGGAAATGGAACCTTTGTGAAGGGAAGTGGAAGAAGAGATGAAGAGGAAAAACAGAAGGAGAAAGGAGGGAAATAAAAATGAATTAAGATGGACCACGTGCTGGGAACACTGTTCCCAGGGTGACAGTCTTGGGAGGTGTCTTGGTTACCCTTCTCTTGTTGCTAAGACAGACTACCCAACACTCAAAATTAAGAAGGAAAGGTTGATTTTCCCACTGTTGGTGGAGGTTTCAGCTCATTCTGGACTGGCTCCAAGGCAAGGT